ACCTACTGAAATTCAAAAACATGCTACTCACTCTGTAAATAGCATATAGCTTATTTGGTGATTTCTCTTGGCTGTTGTAAGAAGACATTTATTATTTCTTTGGTGAAGCAATTTGTCATTGCAATCCTAAACACATGTGAAGAAAGAGAAAGACCTCATACAATAAATTGAGGGTACAAATGGAACTATATTTTACCATTTTGTATAACTAAAAATTCAAAACCATCATGGCTGGAGTGACACATCAGCACCCCAGGGTCTACCTACAAACATAAAAGGAGATTCTAACCATGCCACAGTTTCACTCTTCTGAGTTCTCACCAAGCACTCCGGCCTGCGGCATGCCTGCCTATTGCTAGCCACTTCAGAATACACCACTTAGCTGTCATAGCACATCATTTTATGCACTAAATTATTTTGAGGATTATCTGTTTTACTGCCGTTCTCTACTATAGTTTAAAATCAAGAGTAGGCTTATATCAGCCATTCTCCTGAAGTAGTTCATTATGTATTGATTCTATAAACTTTCACTTAAATGTTTCTAAATGTAATTTGAATAACTGACTTTCAAAAATCAAGACTTCAGACTAGATGTGTTAATAATAACAACAAAGGACAAAAATTCTATTTCCCTGTAGAAGTTATTTGGGACTAGAAGAAAGTTACAAAATAGTATTTAACCGTTTATATTTTAAACTGAGTTATAATGTGTACATTAATTACAATGTTATATTTCCTTAACTGCAAATCAGAAAAGGAATAAGTACTGAAAAAAAAGAATCACTGTTTTAGATAGAGGCAGACAAGCTATGAGAATAACTCTTTTTCTTTGATCTTATGTATCTCACAATGTTACAATTTTTAACTACATCCCTGAGGCCACCAGGCCTGTGTTTAAATTCTGACTCCAAATATTGTTCTGTTCCGCTGTGCAACATGTTAATCTTTTGGGACTTTAATTTCATCATCTGTACAATGGGAATACTTCTTACTCTCACTGGACTGGTATAAATAATCGAGTAATAATGCAAAATGTCTAGAACAGCAAACAATATATTCAATAAGTTTTCCCAAACTTTGAGACTAAAATGTGGGACTCAAAAATCTTCCAAAGTGTTTTTTATTATGTACATAGACTGGCTTAGGTCTTATGAGTGACATAGTTGTACTATGTCTATTAATATAAGTTATATATACCCACAGAAAATGTCACTATTATATAAATGTGACTTCTCTGAGAGTAATACTCTACAATGCATAAATATTTTGTAATACTAATATTTTGCTTATTTTTGACTTTTGTAGCATTTAGAAAAAATGAGTAAAAGGGCATGAGTAATCTGTAGTTCTTTTAAAATAACCTCACCCACAAAGTTCAAATTTGTATCTTTTTCTCCTCAGATATTTCCATAGAGCAAGCAAAGGCATCTGAAATCAAATGCTATGCTTTCTTTTCAACAAAGCCTTTGACATCTGGACATACTACCAACGATTATCTGAAAGGTTTAGAGAGAGACCAGTCTCCTACATCTTATCTTCTCACTCTATTTGCTTCTGCTGACCAGCATCATTAAGTGCAGGATCCCAGGGGTGAGTATGAAAGGGAGAAGGAGGTGACAGTGCTTTGCTAAGGGACAAGGCAAGTGTGACAGACTGACATGAAAGCATTCGCCCTTCTCTCTCCAAGTCACCTTGGTGAATTTTTCTCAATTTGAATTTGTTACAGTATATCACTAAAATAATGTAATTTTTAATTTTACTGTACATCAACTATAGATCAATGAAAATCAATTTTATACATTTTTCTACACACCCAATGTCAGAAAAACCTGTATAGCATGTGATTTTAATGTTATTTTAGCAGACAGTTTAATAAAAACTTAGGAAATAGAGTACTATGCAAATTGTATTTAACCCATCTATACAATGACTTTATATATATGCAAGTAATTGAGGGACGCTACAGTTGATGCTATCCACACTTAGATACATGTTTATAAACTTCCATTTGGGCTGTGAAATCTCATCCTCATCAATCACATTCCTTAAAAACTATAGCAAGAAAACTACAGACTAATGAGTCTCTGACAACTAGATAATGTATAACGTTTCAGAAACATCTGATAGGATATATTTTCACAAATATAAGACGACTAGCAAGTTTGGTTTCTACCCTATTTTTCTTCTCAAGAGTTCATATAATTATGTTACATTTCACCTTAAAATCCAACTATCAGCAAAACTAAAAATGAGTCATTACCTTGGACAGTATAAAGACCAATAAAATAATAATATACCAATGAAAAACAAGTAGAGTATAATTCAGGACAGACACCAAGAAAAGACAGCTCACACGTTTACACCTACACAAATGGTGAATCATTTCACCACACATCAGTAACAACACTGGCCATCTTGAAAATGGTACTCAGGGATAAGGGTTCTCGCATTTTACAAATAAAAACTCTGGAAATCTGAGACTATGTCTTACTCTACATAATTAAACTTATCATTAGTAGGGCTGTAGCTAGAATCAAGATCTTCTTTCCAGTTTTCCTTCTTTACCAGTTTACCTGTTAAGCTAAACATTTTTCCCAAAATTGAGAATAATGTGTTTGCTACAACCTCCCATATTTATATGCTTTCAGTTTTCCATAGTTTAGAACAAAAGCTACATGCTTTAAAAAAAAGGTATTTAATCTACTACTATGAAGGTTAAATATCCTTAGCTCTCTATAAGTGAATGTATCCAACAGATAATTTCCACTTATTCAAATTATTCCAATAAAAAAGTTATTCCAATCAATTCACTGTGCTAAGCTGTCATAACCCTAGTCCCAAACCTAATAAAATAGAATGAAAAAGAAAACCATAGCTCAATTTCACCTAAAGTAGGAGATGTAAAAAATACCAGTAAGTATAAACCCTTATGTAGCATTTACTATGAAGCATGTACTGTTGTAGACACTTTATATATATTAAATCACTGATAATTAGATAATGTATAACACTTCAGAAACATCTGATAGGATATATACCACAATAACTCAAAATATATACCATCACTGTCTCTACTTTTCAGAAGGAAAAACACAGGCAGCTGAAAAACTTCCTCAAGCTAAGCCAGTTAGTAGGGGATAATGGTAGCAGACACACCCAAACAGACTAGCTCCAAAATATTAGGAAATCAATTTAGTTATGCACTAAACTAACAACATATGGAGACAGGGGTGGGGTGTACATAGCTTAGTGATAGGTATGTGCTTTGTATGAGCAAGGCCCTGGGTTCTACAATAACAATAACAAAACAGCAAATAAATCCATACAGGAATTACCCAGTAATGCAAAGACTCTGTATTAAGTAAGACTAAAAAGTTTAATATGATATGTAATTTTTAGAAAATATTCTTAATCAAATAAGCTTATAAAGACTACTTATTAGAAAGTAACACCAAACAACATATTAAATGTGATATGCATTTAGTAAGGTAAACAGATTTAGTAAGGTAAACAAAAGAAACATATTTTTAAAAATCTTGATTTTCCTTTACACTAACAATAAGCAGTTAAAATTAAATGGAAAAGACAGTAACAACTGAAAGTATAATATGCAATGAACAAATTTAACCCAGAAGACTTAAGATCTAAGCATAGAAAACTGTAACATGTCCTTAGATGTAAAATAAGACCTTCATGAACAGATGGGAAGCCTTACTAGAGTGCAAAATGAAATATAATGAATGTACATCTAATAAAATCCTCACTGAAAGATACATCTGGAAGAATAAATATACTGTATAAGGATTTACACCAAAAAAAGTGTTTGCAAAGAACAGTGAGGATGGTCTTCTCCTCCAGATAGTAAAACACACTGCAAATCACCATGATAGTTATTACTATTACTACTACCTTCACAAGCAGAATATATAAATATTCCTCACAAAGACTCAATGAGGTCGATATTTTTATCTTTATTCATTCACTTAAATAGTTATTAAATGGCTTGTCCTTACCAAATCCTATTCTAGATGCTAGAAATGACAATAAATAAGACATAGCTCCTATTACAATATATCCTAACATAGGCAAACAAAATATGAGCTTAAACAAAGGGATGCTAAAAAGGAAATAAAACTAAGTGATATGATAGGCATAAACTGGAAGTCACCTTTAAAAAATTAAAGAGCTAGAAAAATATTAAAATGTTTAAGAAGCTGGAAAAATATTCCAGATAAGCAGAAAAGCAAAACTCCTGAGACAGGAACAGGTAAGAACATTCAAGAACAGAAAGCAGGACAACACGCCTGCAGTAGGGGGAAAAGAATATGACAGAAAGTGGGTATTTATTCCAGGGCCCTGTGCAGAAGGTTACTGCTAGATAGTGTATAAAGAAAAACTACTGGAAAAATTAGATGCTGATCACTGGGATGATGCCAACTAGACAGTGGTAGAGTGTACAACACAGAGTTAATCAAAAGGGTCAGATAGTGTATGACCTAATCTGGAAAGACACACTAGAAATACTGAGCGCAAAAATGCAAGGGACTAATATATGTGACAGATTTCATTTTTTAAAAATGAGATATATGAACATGGTACTAGGAATTAAAACCCCTGAATCTGACCCTTAATAATTTCCACTTTGCCTTCTCCCGTTCCAAGCAGATGCCATCCTATGCACTATACTCCCACCTCTTTCTATGACTTAATCTCTGCTAGCATGTCAGCTCACCTCAGCTCACTCCTCCTTTACCTAAAGACATGAACAGCTCAGCATCACAAACATTCTAAGAGTGCAGAGAAGAACATTTCCTTATAATTTAAAAACATAATAGACTCTAGCCCTGAAATGACCAAATTAGTTCTGATGATCTTAGGGTACTAAGATGGTACCAAAATTTTTATTTTAAAATCAGAAATAACATTATTCTGAACAATTAAGGAAACTAAATATTCAGTCAGCTACCACAGTAGGAAAGACATAAATGAGTTATTCTTACCTCTATTTTTGTTCGATAAAGAACAAGTCGTTTAAGACTGCATAATTTGGCAATGTGGTTGAAAGCCTGAGGAGGTAACTTATCACAGGATGAGAGATTTAACTCTTGCAGATTTGGACACATCTCAGAAATAACCTCCAAGCAAGTTTCATTAAGGAAATGACTGCAAGATAATTCAAGGCGTACTAATTCAGATCCACAAACCTTCAGAAATCTGTAAAAACAATGTTCCATGAGTTTTCTAAGATTAAAGAATCTTATTGTAAGAACTTTAAAACTGTATCAACTCTAAGAAGACACACTTCAAAAGAACAGAATTCTATTAAGGAAAATATAAAAATTGTTTCTCTTAAATTCCCATCCATTGCATGCTGAAATAGTCATGGTTAGGCTAAAATATATCAACCTGAAAAGATGGGGCTGGGGATTTAGCTCAGCAGCACAGTGCCTGCCTGGCAAGGACAAGGTCATGAGTTCGATTGCCGGTACCGGGAAAAAAAAAACCAAAAAAAACCAACAACAACAACAAAAAAAACTGAAAAGATAAAGTAAATTCATGTAACAGAAAAAGTCAGCTAAAGCCACATGGAAAACTAAGAAAGCAGAGGAAATATTACTCCCACTTACCTGTTGTTCACATCTGAGTTTGTAAAGCCCCAAACAAAACATAAAACTTAATACTCCTGGGAGATATGTCCCCCTTAATAACACACAGTACTGAGTAACACATTTTGTACACTATAACACAAAATGACAGCCTGGATTGAATGACCTCAAATCAGACCAGACTCCTTTCAAGTCAAAATATTTCTATGTTGTTTTAACTCCACTGTTGTGTGAGATGTTCCTTTAGCTGTTACTAATATTTAATAACTGGAGTGCTATACAAATAATCCAAGGTGATGGACACAAAAATGTTTTATCACAGTAGAAATAGTGGTATTTATCTTAGTTCCACTCCTGTTGGGGGAAAATCTGTCTATAACAATTAACTGAAAATAACCTAAAAGCATCAATCTAGGCCTGTATGACTATGAGATTTTATCAACTCAGTAAACTGAACCCCTACATAGTGCACCAATTATCTCTGCCCAGTTCTCTGGACATAATCTTGCTCATCAGTGTCACGTCAGCAATGTTAGCACTATTAATTTATGTCTGTATTTTCCCTAAATAATTAAAAAACTGACCAACAGGCATATGAAATAAAATTGAACTAAGGATATCTGTGTAAATAAAAGAATTAGCACTGGACTAGTCAAAAGACGGATTTTTCTCCTCCCACTTTTTTTGGCCTGCTCTATTACTTTCTAGCAGTGACCCGGTACATGGCATTTACTTAGGTCTCAGCATTTCCTCAGCTCCAACAGGCAGACTGAACAATACTTACCATGCTGCCTCGTGGTTCCAAAAATCAAATAATATGTGAAAGCTGGCAAAGATCAAAGCAGCTCACAAGCATTAAGATATAAGTTAAATCTCTGCTAGCTCACATTTAAAAAGCAAAATTCAATTACTACAGATTTACTTAAATATTGCAAATAACCCTGTAGCCCACACATTTTACTTACACTTGAACACCATTTTATTCTTAATCCACTGCAGTCTGCATTCTGCTCACCCTAAATTCACTCTCTCCTTTAAATTGCTAAGTTCAGTAGCCTCTCCTATTGCTACTTGTATTATATGATTTATCTGTGACATCTCACACAATTACGCACTCTTTTCTGAAGTTTCTGAGGCTGTGATCCCTCTCCTGGATCTTCTCCAACAGCTCTCACTCCTGCTTCCTCTGCTACTTGTGTCAGCTAAGCTGCAGTCTGCACCAAGCACATTCATCAATCACTCCCTCAGCCAAGTATTTACTGAGTTTCCACATGACCCAGCCAGTGGTCTCAGCACTGTGGAAACAAAGTCCCTGCTCTCAGCAAGCACAGCTTACATTCTGGTCAGTGCTAGAGACTAGAAACAAGTAAGTGAGTAAAACACATAGCATAGTAAAGAATGAAAAGTACCAACAGGGAAATAAAAGCAGGGAGGGCCAATAGAAAATGCGGTCAGGGAAGCCTCGGAGTGGGGTCTGTGTGGAGGAAATGAGAGGATGGTAAAGCAAATGTCTGGAGCAAAAGCATTTCAGGCAGTGAGAAGGCCAAGCACATTAGCAAGGGGGAAAGTTGCTAAGAGAGAAGAAAATATGGAAGGTGATGCAGGAGGCAGGAGATGAGGGAGAAAGGATTACATCAGTGAGGCAGGACAGCAGTTCATACAGCATGCGTCACTATAAAGACTCTGACTTTTATTTTGAGAGCAGTGGAATTCCCAATCATCAGAAGCTTGTGTTTCACCAGGCTGACTGACATTTGCATACAAAGATTGAGAGGAACGGGGTAGAAACCATGAAGACACCACTGCAATATTCAAGAAAGAGAAGATGGTGCGATGTCATTTGGATGACAGCTCTAAATGTGGAGATAAAATAATCAGATTCTGGACCGATTTCAAAGGTAGACAATGTATGCTAAATTATGATATATCTCCAACACAATGCACTGAACTCTAGCATCATCTATTTCCCATCCATTATCTTTCTCATAAACATAATTTCCTTATTGTTTTTCACAGAGAGTTAAAAACCGTCTCAATTCTTGTGACAACTGAAACAGACCACTGGTGCACCCAGTACTGAGTACAACAGCAGGGACGTAAAAAGCATTCAATGAGAGGTAACTGAACAACTCTTCTAATTACAAAAATACATTTTATAAACGTAATCTTCCTCTATTCTTGAACAAGTAAGTTCCAGTGATTAACAGTACTTTTCCCATAGTAGGGGCAAACTACTCCTGAGAAATACGATGAAATTAACACTTTGACCTTACTCTGAGTGTACAAGTAGTTATGCAGAGTAATTCATTATTTATAAGCTAGCAATATAAAAATAGATGTAGCATTTCAGAGAATTAAAGAATGTCATTTTTATAACTCTAAAAATATCTGCAGATTTTAGAAGTGAGTATATTAACTCTTACAATGGAAAGGTTTAGGGGATCTTATCTCTTCATGGTCTTCATTATTTGGGTGAAGCATTCTGACATACACCTCTTTTTCATTTTTGACTTAAAATGACCTGACATTCCTTTTTGCTCTTTACTACCATTTATGAACCTTTGTTTCCAAAGAATGTATAGAGTGCTGTTCAACCAATCATTAGAAAACCAAGTGTTAATAGACAGTAGAAAACTTCCAGATAGATTTAATGTTAGAATTTGAAAGCACAGTAAAGACAATAATCATAACTATACTAGCAAGGATTTTTATTTTTCTTTGTCAAGATTCTTATATCACATGTTCTTCCACTGGATTATTTGGCCAGTACACTCATATTCTATCTTCTTCACTTTAGGAAATCTGTTCTACCTGCTTTTCATAGTATCTGCACCCTAAGAAGGCACAAGAAGCAGCAGACTCAATTAGCTCAACACAACTCATTTCTTATTTAATGCACCACCTGGAAGGTAATGTAAAGTTAGATACATGCTTTTGTCTTGGTCAACTATTTATTCATTGCAACTATTTATTCATGGGTCCCTTAAAAGGAAAACTACAGCTTTTTTATTTCCTGCAGCCTATTCATTCTACACTGTGAATTCTCATAAAGCATTTACTGATATTGAGGTTTTTATGAGAAGACCTAAGTTCAGATACACAATCCTGAACTTACCCAGGAGCCTCTGGAGATGAAAATAAAATGATAACCTTATGAGGTGAATTAATTTGTCCAGAGGAACACAAGTATGTAAGAAGTAATTTACTAACTGGTACCTTGTACCCTAAAATAATTAACATCACACAAATGGACAATTTAATCTGAGCTTACTCATCACAAAATAGAAGACACTAATCCTCACACCCTGACTGATGTATAAAGGTAAAAGGAGAATTAGATATAAATATCCACAACTTCTGATTCCTAACCTTCTGTTTTGTTAGCTGGCCCTCACTGAGTTTTATGACAGTATATTTAAGGTAATGTTAATTCCAAGTACCTGGAACATTATTTAATAAATCTGGTCCAAAATAAAGCCACTGAAAAAACTTTCTGATAATAGTACATAGTACTACCTATCAATTATAGAGGGGGAGAGGTGGGGAGAAAGTCTTTTTTTTTTTTTTTTTTGGTTTTCTCCGGTACCAGGAACCAAACTCAAGACCTTGCGCTTGCCAGGCAGGCGCTTTGCCGCTGAGCTAAATCCCCAGCCCAGAGTCTTAAAATTATCTCTACTTTCTAGGATTTGACAATCTAAGAACAAGTGTATAAAGTATAGGCAAGCAACTGAAAAAAACACATGAATCAAAAAATAGCTCTCTGTGCCATGAAACTATAACTGTTTGAAAATACTGACCAAGGTCCTTGCATCTAGAAAGCATCCAAGAATATTTCCTGAAGTAACGAATATGAACTACCTAGAGTAAGTAAGTAGGTTAGGGGTAAAACCCACACCTAAGTGAGGTGGAGGATCAGCATTGATTCATCATTCTTCTACATGGAGAACCATGGTAATAGAAAAATCAACCTTTTGGACAGAATGATGTGATTATGCTTTAAAACACAAACAGGCAGGGAGGTAAAGGAACATCCAAGACTTTGGAGAACTGTATTATAAAAGAAAAGAGTAATTATAATAGGTAAGATTTTAATGAGTAATGATATGCCTGAGTAGTACTCCAAGTTGCAAATCACAAATCTGTGGTGGGGCTAGGATTATGATAGCTGATTAAGAGTTTTATGTTCTCTTTCTTCCAATTTAATCTGTTTCTCTGCTATTCTGAATAATAAAAAGTGCTAAGAAGTTCTTTAAAATCTAGTGAAATAGTTCTAATCTTCATAAGGTTTTCAGTTAATAAAAATAAGCTGCATCAAACTTTTTTCCCCAAAACTTGCTCAAAAAGCAGCTCATCATCATTGGTCTCTAGTTTTAAAATGTACCTTTTTTCTTTACAGTATTATAAATAAGTCTTGCTCACAGTAATAAGCATAAATAGACCATACTTATTCATAGATTATTCATTAATAATCAAGCCATGAATATTTATTGTTTATTATGGGAATGCAGCCTACAAGCCATAATGACTGTCAATTCAGCAGTCAAGTCAAGGGGGTCAACAGCAATCAGCAAGCGAAACTCCCATCTGCCTCCACCCCCAACTTTTTTCTGTTCCTGTTATCTAAACTTTCTTTTCTTAATGGGAACAGTGACTATAGTTAAGGAATGCTAGCAAAATGCACTGTTTTTCTGGTTAAATATTTGGCAAATTAAATCTATATATGTAGTTTTGTTATTATTCACCGCCCCAGAGTAACTACCCTGTGTGAACTGGAAAATGGAAGAACTTCTTGTGAGAAAGCAGACTGGAGCTCTAACTTTGCAAAAGATCTTTGCCCATTATCAACTATAATTTTAAAAATACCACTGAGTTTTCTTCTCACAATTGAAGCTTCTTCGCGTGCACCCAAGGAAATGACATAAAAAGCTTTTAAAATGCAATACTATCTTTACGTTTTATTCATTACCACAATCCTATGTAGCACACTGTCAAAGAAGCTAGATGCCAGCCATTTACTACCAACATTTTCTTTAACTTCTATAACCATTGGTCACTACCTTTATTTTAATCATAAAAATATTGTAAAGGATATGTTTACATGTTATTTATATATTTTTAGCTTCTCTGTAGAAGGAGCTATATTATATAGCTCAAGTATCTGTTTACATGGTCCACAATATGCACTACCATCCCTTGTACTCAAAGGGTAAAAACAATATTAATTCCTGATAGTGATGAAAACTGGGGACAGACCTGTAAGAGTAATTTAAACACCCTATAGGTCTTTCTAATGTAAAATAACGCTTACTGGCACCGCTCTTCTCCCTGTCTCACATTCAGCTGGCCTTGGCTTATGACTGATTCATATGGTCTACCCAGCCAGCATCAGCTTCAGGTCTTCAAGGTCTCTTAGAAGAGAGGAGAATGTGCACATGAAGGATGTGTGTTTGGGCTGAGAGAAGTGGAAAAAAAGGACTACACAATTTGGGGGATTCAGATAATGAGACTTCAAAATCTACAGTGTTGGCATGCTGTCTACTTTTGACTAACGGACAGGAGACTGTCTCAGAAGCAGTCTCGGACCCAAGGTCTCTTTCTTCTCATTCTCTCTCTTATCTCTATTCTCCCCCAAAGCAAATCACAGAAACCAGAGCTACTCTTCTCTAAGACAGGTCACAAAAACTAGAACTTCTCTTTCCCAAACCAAGTCATAAACTCTGAACATATTACTCTAACCTTCCCCTGTCTTTCCTCCTAGGAGCTGGATGGAAAGAAATTCTATGACCCACCCTTGTCCAGTAACAGGTCTTAAGACTCCCATTCCACAGGAGTCCTGCCCTATATTCATGAAGAAGAAACACTACAATACAGAGGAATCTAAACAGGCAGGTCCTTCCACACTCACTGTGTTACTGTTGGGTCACACACGCTTTGTTCAACCACATTTCCACATGCCTGTCCATCCCTACTTCTTCAAACCTAGGCATAAAGTCAGATGGTTTCTCCTACATCTGTAGGTCTTCTGTCTGAAAACTCCCATGGCATATATAACTATGATTAAGTAAAATTGTTAACCTTTTTCTTGTTAACTTGTTTTTTGACATGGGGGTACCAGTTGTACCCTTTATGATGGAGAGAAAAGGGATCACCCTCTCTCTGCCCCTACAATGTGTTCCACTGGATAGCTATCATATGTTGAGTAATAAGCCTTTCCCTGGACCTATCTCTGGGAGAAAAGAGAGAAAGCCAGTGCATCCATGCTTTTAACATGTGCTGTGGGCCACGATTGCTTGTACCTGTTTTTAAATTTGATGCATAAACAATTAATGTTAGCATTTTGAGCACACTGTTACTACCTCTCACACTATGATGTCATCCAAATCTAATCATATCAAATATTTCTTTCTTGAACTGCATCTGTATTATAATGTAAGGCAAAGGAAAATAAGCCACTACATATAAATTTCTAAGTCCTAAAGCACTATATAAGAACATACCCACTGGACGGTACCCAAATGTAAGGATGGGTGAAATTCAGTTTTAGTCTGTAAAAATAGGATAAAAGAGTATTTGCGCATTAGCAGGTATTTTCCCCAAACTCTTTTCTCTATTATTCAACCTCATGTAAATGATGAGCTCACATGTAACATACAATGGAAACAACTCTTATCAAGGTTAAGAGAAAAACACCTGTTTGTATCATAAGAAAAATTACTATGGCATTACTAAATGATTATGCACTTGTACAAGATTTCAAATGTTTAACAGGTGACATTTAATAGTAAGGAAACGAAATGCCTAAATAGAAAGGAGCAGAAACACCTGGGCAGGTCTGCAAGTGTGGTCGCCTAGTTAGCATGCAATTGCATTTTCAACATAATTAGTTCAAATGAGCTTCTAAATTTGGGTGATGTATTGCACATGTAATTAAGATTTAATTAAAAATGCTCCATAATAAATTGTTTTCCATTTCTGACAAATCACATTAGAGGTAGATTTTGATTTGGAAATAGTTTTTAAAATGTGTTAATCATCTGTGCTGAAAATATGAGAAAAGAAAAAAAGGAGTTCTGTAGAAAGTCACTTCTGATTTAAAAAATTAAGAGGTAAAGGATACAATGCCCTTACAAAGTTTAGCTGGAAAGGCTGATAAAACTCCTTAATTTTAATAAGCAGCACCACTGTGAACACACACTGTGTTTCTTTTTTATTTCTGTAAGATATAGTATATAATTTTAAACTCCTACTGTGAAAATTATTATACACTGAGTTAATAAGTACAGCCTGCTGATGAAGAAAAAAGCTTCAACAAGTCCTTGCACTCACCTGCAAAACCCTGAAACAGAGATGAAGCCCCTATTTCCAGTCCAGGATAAATTAAGCCATTGGACGAGAGTACATCGAGCCTGTAGAAACTCTAAGGAGGTGTCATTTAGTTTCGCCCAGTACGGCTGCAGATTGAGGTGGATGTATTGCAGAGGGTCGCAGCAATGCTGGTTCAGTAGTTTACAGGTCTGTGCTAATCTACAGAGGTCTGGTAGTGTAAGATGATTCAGAATCAGTTGAATGAGCTACACAAAACAGAACCCAAGAACAAGAGTGAAAAACAGTATCATTGTAGCATAATACAGGATTTATAACATAACACACATTTTAAAACAATATTTTATAGTACAATAAAAAACAGTGCTTTTTTAATAAGTTTGTTGGTACATTGTAAATATACATAATGATCGCTTTAATCATAGGGACTTTCTAGCCCTACATGACTTATCTCAATTTTTTTTTTTGCATTCTCTTACCCTCCTTTCAACCCCTCTTTCCCTCATTTACAAAAGCTGTTTCCTTTTTTTTTTTACATAGTAAATAAATCAATGTTCAACAAAAATATCTAAGTGGGAAGAAACTACAGATACCCGACTACACTGCATTTCAAACTGCTCAAATATTCGGCTCATGTTGACAACTCATTTCCTTAGTGTGCAAAGATATTTTACTAATCTGTTGACTAATAGAATTTTTCATAGACTCAGCATTTATTACATTCCAGGCACTGGTGATATAAAAGAGTTTCCACTCCCAAGCTGTTCACAGTCCAGGGAAATTAGTAAGTACAATGACATGTTTTAATAGTGTTGGTAGCGATATACAATGCTAGTAGAGCCTAAAACTGTACAAGACATAGACCTAACTCCAAAGCAAAAGTGTGCTTATGCCAAGAAGGCTCAGCATCAAAAGGATGAGAGCAAACATAAAAACAGAAGAGTCTGCATTTACCATAAAAGCACTGAGGAGAGTTGAAAAGATTTACACGGCTGAGTGAGAAGATCAGGTCTATGTTTTAGAAAGGTCATCAGACAAGTGCTACAGGACAAAAGGAGGCAGAAAGAGAAAACAGCCAGGGAGCTAATGCAGAATTCCAGGAAAGAGAAAAAGAAAAATATCTGTTCAAAGCAGCGGGAGCAATGATGGAATAGAGAATGTATGTAAAAATTAACAAGGTGGAATAAAAAAGATCTTTATCTCTAATAAAAACAATCTCCTTGAATGAGTCCAGAATAGTTTTCTTTTTAATGGTAAACAATTGGGTTTTTGCCAGGTGGGCAAGCAATTAAACAGAGAAGAAAGACAGGAAACCAACCACAGGAAAATAACCCAAAAAGGATAAGCCAATACATAACAGTTATAAACATCAATGAAATGGTCTCAATTCACCAATCAAAAGAAACAGACTGGCAGAATGGATCAAGAAAGAAGATCCAACAATATGCTGCCTTCAAGAAACACATTTAAACCAAAAAGAAAGTTACAGACTAAACATCAAAGTATAGAAAATAACTCCCCAGGCAAGAGGAACCCAGAAAAAAGCAGAGGTAGCTATTCTATTTGCAGACAATGTAAACTTTACACCAAAACTGATGAAAAGACGCATAGAAGGTCAATATATACTTGTTAAGAGAAACATCCAAGAGATAACAATTATATATGCACCAAACACCAGTGTACTCAACTACATAAAACAATTATTAACAGACATGAAAAAAAAAACAAATAAACACTAACACAGTTGTAGCGGGGAACCTTAATAATCCACTCTCACAAAGAGATAGATCAACTAGACAAAAAGAATCAATGAAGAAATATCAGAATTAAACCAAGCCTGTGAACAAATGGACTTAGTACATGAATACAGAGTATTCCACCCCAAAACATCACAATACACATTCTTCTCAGCTGCACATGGGATGTTCTCTAAAATAGACCACATATTAACAAAACACGCTTAAGTAAATGTAGAGGAATTGAAATCATCCCATGTACACTCTTTGATCATAGTGCAATGAAACTGGAAATCAATGACAAAAGAAATCACAAAACTATATAAACACATGGAAATTAAATAACACTCTTCTGAATAACCAATGGATCAACAGAGGAAATTAAAGATGAAATTAAACTATATATACAATTAAATGATAATGTCAATACAACATACTGAAACTTACAGGATGCAATGAAAGCAGTCCTACAAGAGAAATTTATAGTGATAAGTTTTCACATCAGGAAAACAGAATGAGCTGAAATAAACAACCTAATGTTGAACCTCAAACTTCTAGAAAAAAGAACAAATAAAACCCAAAACTCATATAAGGGAGGAAATTATAAAGATAAGAGCAAAAATTAATGCAATTTTAAAGAGGAGAACAAAAATGGAAGTAAAACAGTTTCAAATCAGGCTAATAGAAGAATAAGAATAATTGATTGTGCATTGTTATCTTCATAGTAGTTACTCAGAGTACAAGATATAGGCATGAAGTGAAGTCAGACAATATTAGCACAGATCTTTCTTTTCAGTCAGCTAAGAGAAACTAGCTGTGTAACTGTCTTAACTATCTTGTGTAGTATACTTTTTCCCTTTTCTTTTCTTTCCTTACCCCTTTCCCCCATCAGTTTCTCTTTTCTTTTGAACAGTTTCTTCCCCATTCACAACGTCTATTGTGCCTCCTGCAAACTGCTCGTATTACAAGCTTGTGCCACCACGCTAGTTGAAAAGATTTTTATAAAATATGAGCATCAGTTACCTAATAAATCGATCATCTATAGTAAGGTTTGAGGTATTCTTGCTATTTACTCTTAACCTTTGAACTAGGCTTGAAAGAATAACTTCAGGGTGTTTATGCATTTATACATTTGCTGTGAAAAGAAAAACTATAAAGATGTTAATAATTAGATGTTAATAAAAAGATGTTAATAATAAAGGCTGGCAAAGACTCTGCTTTACTAAAATTTAGCAATGTATCTGTATTTTCTCCTAGACCCATCTGAGCACTTCCTTATAGCATCCAATTTTAAGCAAACAAAAAACATTGCTAAGTCAATTTAGCAAAACCCTCATCCTCTACCATCCCACTGCAGTGGTCCCCATCCCTATCACAAATGGGTATTTCCTTTAATAAAATCTCACCATCCAGATAACCCTTTGGCCTATGAAATATTATACAAACAAATCAAAAACCTCAGGTAGAAAATAAGTTTATTCCTCTTTACCTTCAATTCTACAATCCTTCTCCCTTACAGATAAGCATTTTTAAGTTTTTCTGGTCTTTTCCAGATACATGTGTATGAAATTGTATTCCTGGATATCATAAACATAGTTTAGCTCCTTGTTTTTCTCATTTACTGATACATCCTATAGATCCTCATCTACACAAACAGAACCAAGTCTTTCGGTTTCACAAATGTGACATAATAACTGAACTAGTTTCTGACTGCTAGTATATCACCTGCTTTTTTCCTGTTGCAAATAATATTGCAATGTCATTATTGTAATGTCCTTATTGTATATTAATATCATTATATCAATATCATTATTATATATTATGTATATAAGTTAATCTTGGCAAACTTTGTATGTATACCCTTAGGGTAAGTTATCCACATTTAAAAGTCTTTATATAAGCACAAAGTTGCCCTTCTGAATGTTCACATCATTTTATATATCCACAAATAAGTGTGTAAAAGTACCCATTCACCTGTATCTTCGTACTGGTATCAAAACTTTATCATTCTAAGAGGCAAAAAAGGGGGCAGCAGCTATTTTATTTGTGCTGTGTTGAATTCTGCCACTACTCTTCTTCTATTTATTTAAATTATTTGTTTTGTTAATTATAGAAATTTAATAGAAATTTAACTCTTTGCCAAAAAAATTGCCAATATTTTCTCCTCTCCTTTTGGTCTTTTCTTGGTCTCTGTGTTTCATTTATCCATTATTTTTCCCATTTCAATCATCTATGTAAAGGAAGTTGTCCTCTAAAATTTTAAAACTGTATACAGGTAAATACATTAGATTTTTTTGCTTGGTTGTAAATGAGAATCAAGATGAATCATTCTCCTTTACTAGGATTTTCCTGATTATTTTCAGGTTACTTAGGTGAATTTTTTATTTATAAATTGTTTGCATTTTAATTGAGATTTCATTAAATATATCATTACTTTAAGAAAAACTGACACTTTAGCTTTAATGTATTTTCCTACTCAAGACCATGCTATGACTTAACACTCAATGTTCCTGGAGTTCCTAAAGCTATTACTTTTCATCTATTAACTTCCCAGCCTGCCAACTTACTTATTGTTCTCAACCATTATTGGTAATCATTTTGTCTGTAAATGCTGACTTTATAGCTGCCTTTACTAAAAATTATGCCTTTTGTTCCTTTCTCATATCTACCAGTATTGGCCAGTTCTTCCAGAACAATGTTATTTTAATCTTGGCTTTAATTCAAATGTGAGCCACAAATGTGAGATATATATAATTTCAAATTTTTTACTAATTAAATTTTTAAAAGTAAAAAAAAACAGACAAAATTAGTTTTCTTTTAGTTTATGCAACATATACAAGTATCACAATTCCTTACAATTAATGTAAAAATGAGATGTTTTGCATTCCTAAGTATTTAAAGTCCTATATATATTTTACACTTTTAGCACATTTCAATTCAGACTTACCACATTTCAAGTGCTTAATAGTGTGTATGGCTAGTGGCTGCCATGCTAAACAATGGACTTCTTGTTTTTGATAATTAAATATGATTATTAGCTTTTGGTTTATGATGCTTGACAGCCTAATAAAGCAATTTTTAACAGAAATAGCAAAAATACTGATATCCATTTAGCTGTCTTTTGTTAACTGGTTTTGCACATCTACTGAGATGATCTTAGGATTTTTCAGCTTTTAATCTAATATTATAAATTATCTATGACAAAAATTCTTGAATTCCAGGAGTAAATCCTGAATGATTTTGTTGTATTATCATCTTAAAATAATTCTACTTGACATTATTTTATTCAAGATGTTTATATAAGTGAAACTGGTCCACAGTTTTCTTTTTTGCATGTTATGTTGATCCCTGTTCCTTTTTCTTTATGCTTTGAAAATGTAAGTAATATAAGAATTTTGTGTTCATAAATGTTTGAAAGCAACTATGAATCACCTGAGCTTGGTAACAATGGTACCTTAAAATGTGTAGAATTACAATTTTGCTTTAACTATAATTTTCAAATATATTTCAGTAGAACTTTTAAGCAGTTACTACTGAGTCATTCTGCATCAGAAGTAAATACTTTACTTTTTATAGATGATTTGTTATTTAAATTATTCCTAGCAACTTCTGGCATGATTCCAAACAAAAGTCACCATAACAAAAGTCACATTATAAGGTGAAAACATTTCAACACTTAGTATTAAATTTTAAACAAATATCGAAGTATAAAAAAATTAATGAAGTCACCAAAACCATGACAGTGACATGGGAAAGAGTACCTCCAGATTTTATCTAAATAAAGATAGCAGCTTTTAGGCTTGGAAGACAATACCCATTCCTCGCTATTCAACTAGCATCTAGTATCTGTCAAAACCTCTTATTATATGAGAAATCCTAGTCTAAAGTACCTTAGGATAACATAATGAATATATGATGAAATTATGGTCTGGAAGGCCTCCCCAAAAAAGGTTGATCTGCCCTCAAAACTCAGTATACTCTATGTGTTTTCCAGCATTAACTCTTTACATGGTGTTCTTTCGTCAATGCTAATTAATATCCCTCCAGGAATAGTGACTCTATCTCTTGGTTTCTTCTACAGAAGTTTGTTGTTTGATTAAATGTTTTTGCATATATTTGAAGCTTTCTCTCCCTCCTGGCTCCTTCCCTTCTATATAAATATGCTGAATTTTCTGCATCATAAACACAGCCTTAACCTCTCTGCTGCATCTCCGCTACTTACCATATCTCTTTCCTTTCAAATGTAACCTAGAGAAGATTATACCTACAATTTCTCACTCTCTCACTGTGATAATACTCCTTTGGGAGTATGACACAAAGAGGTGGCATGTTAGCTAGAAGGCCAACTGTCTTGGTGGATAGTTTTATCCATGTTACAGTCCATAATCAAAAGTATATTACAGAAGTAATTTTCTGCTTATTCTGAGATATTAAACACTTATTGTTTCTGCTTGTACTTCTCTACTTGATGCCTTTACCAAACACCACGCAATTCTGTCATCTGTCACCCTACGGAATTGACTGCTCATGGTACAGATCTCCTAGTGACCCAAACCAGTGGGCAGTGTAATTTAACTTCTGCAGCAACACAGCTGAGTTTACTTTTTAATGGTGGCTGTACCTTTTCAGCTTCCTAATGCTTTGGTTTTAAGACTTTCCCACCTCTTGAGTCCTTTTTCCCATTTCTTTTTTCTATGGGACTCTTAGATGTTAGCATTCCCAAAATTCTGTTCTTGGCCCTTTATTTACATTCTATAGTTTCACCAATCAACTTCACCCACTTCATTCTAGAGATGGATCACTCAAATAAAATATCAGACCTTCCAACTGAAAGTAAAGCTCAAACAGCAACTGGCCACTGTCCGTGACCATACAAGCCTGCTTTAATGAGTTACAGGCACTTAAAAGTCAATGTCCCCGTCTCCCTCCACCCAGTTTCATGATTAAAAGCATGTCCACCACGGAGACATCCCAACCTGAAACCTAAAAGTCCATGATGTTTTCCTTCATCTCCACATTTATTAGTTTCTTTTGATTACTATCTTCTGAATCTCTGGAATATTCCTCCCACCTTATCTCTTCTCAAAGCATTCCAATTTCTAGGGCTTCGTCAATTCGTCCCTAAGTTACTGCAGCAGGTTCCTAACTGGTATCCCTCCCTGCAACCCTGACTTCCTGCTGTTCTATTCTTCATTTACCATAGAGTAATCTAAAATCAAAATTTTGTTTTGTTATGCTCTTTCTTCAAATAAAATTTTCATTGTTCACAATCTTTTTTATATCAAGACCTATGAAAAAGAATTCACATGAGACCAAAACATCTGGGCAATTACTGTATCTAACTGTGAGCCAATGCATCTGTAAAAATGCCTGAATATTATGGATAATTTCTGGAACATTAGATATTATTCTATATCTTTTCCCATTCAAAAAGAACACACAAAGAACACAAGTAAGTCAGTGTGAAACTACTATCTTGAATTTGCTCTTGTTTTTTTCACCTATGGTAAATTATTTACAAAATCTGAAGTATCTGTGTTTTTCCCCAACTATTTTGCTGTACACTGGGGAAGCACAGTACCCTGAACACCCCTGGCTGAAAGGGACAAAAGGCAAACTTGGTAAACCCAAAAAGCCCTCTGCTGCGCCTCATGACCAGGGCGTCCTGATAACCGCTATCCACGTGAACTGAGTTGAGTACTGCAGCAGCTTTAGGTCTCTCTCCAATTTCATGTCCTGCACCTTTCCCTGTTAAATCCCATGTTCCAGCCACAGGGAAATACTGGAGTTTTCCAACAAGTCAAACACTTTATTCTCTTCCCTCTACCAGAAGCTCTCCCATATCATTCATTTGAATGCCACATGAAATGCGTTTTACCAGGCTTGGATAAAATTCAATAAACGGTCTAAAATACATATTTCTTGAACCAAATTTGTTCTAAATCTTAGGAAATGGGTAAAAACAAAGAAGTGATTCACTGGCCTCCCAATCAACTAAGCCCACTGCTGCCGGGCAGATCTCCTCAGAGCTCCGAGGAATGGCACTAGCAATGCCTCATGCTCCTCACTGAAAGCTCAGCTCTTCCTGCATCTTTCCTCCTTTCTCACAGTAAAGGCCAGATGGCCTTCTCCAGTCTGTGAAGCTTCCTTTCTACCATGCAAGTCTTGCCTTGGAGGCCCTGGGTGGGATCTTGGTCTTGCTCTTACTTAAATGCGTCTATGTTTAGCAACGTTAGCTATTGCATAGGAAGCACCACAATATTTGAAGTGTAAAATGTTGTACAGGTATCATGGTTACTATTACTACTAGGCATTCAACAGGCTTCTTCTCATTTCATGCATGTTAAACTACCAGTGTGTTTATAATGAAATCTGAAATACCAATTTAGAAGGCTGACATCTAATTTGGTTAAAATTTCAGTCTATAAATTTCTTTTTTAAATGCTGATTGTATTATTTTTAACCATACACAAAAGTTTGCAGTGGGTGACATAAATACTTGGTCAAACTTCCTCCACACCTCTCCCCAACTCCCTGGGGATATTTGGTAACAGGTGGGGAATTTTGGTGTCACATAGCTGTGGAATGTACTGGAATTTGATGCTGGGGAGGCAGGCTAAATATACTACAGAAGTACTCCCACGGAGACACAGTGAAAACAAATTTCAAACTAGACACACAAAAAAGTACAGTGGTACCTAGGTTCATGAATTCAATTCTCTCTACAATTCTGGTCACAAACCAAACTGGACAAGAACTCAATCAATTTTCCCCATGAGGTTAACATTGACTCTAACCACTGAATTTGGTTCAGTTCTCATCCAATTCAGTTTGTGACCATATTCGTGGAAAGAATCAAGTTCATGAACCAAGGTACCTCCTGTATTTATGAGTAAAGGTACTCTATCTGCCTAGACCAAAAGTAATGCTTAGAATAATATAATTAGTATAGAAGAACAAATGACACTTAAGGAAACTGTAGTTATAAAATAAAACAGGCATTCATTTCACAATTTTATTGTTCTTATCTCTGATAGCAAATAATCTTTAACATAACTGATATAAAGTTAAGCACACACTGCCCATATTTACATTGTACAGTTATGAATTAAAGTGGAGTATAATCTATCATTAATGTATTTGCTTAATGTTACTCAGTAATGTAAGAATATATATTTAATAATTTATCCAGAATCACTACAATCAGATTTAAGATGCTTAATACGCACGTTTCAAATCAGATTTAAGATGTTTAATACATATGTTCCAAATCCATACAAGGAATGGAAACATCATAAACTGCAAATATGTGCTAATAAAAAAACCAAAATAACAAAAAATACACAACACATCACAAAGTATATGCCCCTTACTAATGCTTCTATTTCTCTGATAATTAGCAAAATAAACATTAATAGTTAAACATTTGTGTTATGTCGACTAGCACTACTGAATACTTCTGGCTTACCTCATATGGCAGCTTATCAAAATATCCATTATTTGGCCCTTCCCTGAGGGCAGCACTGCTAAACTTTTTGTTAAGATTGTCCATTCCGCAACCATCCTTTTCTTCATACTCATCATCTTCTAGATCATTCATGTCAATAAGTGACGTCTTGAGAGAAAGCACTGGCTTGTCTTTCGTACCATGTAGCACAACTGCATCTAATTCAGTGTAATAATCCAGAAGAGAACTATTTACTTCCAGTCGTATAAGATTTGTGGGAAAATTTATCTGCTTAACACAAGGTTTAAATTGGCGAGCCTGGGAAGCATTCACCTTCGTAGGTTTCTCTGACCAAAGAATCTCCCATCTGCCAAAGAAAGAAACTTCCCTATAATATAGTTTGGAATGAGATCTACCCATACCTTAACACAATACAGTGTGAAACAAAGGTGTCACCTGAGCTGACCAGAATCAACACATAAATTGTTTCTAAGATACGAAAAAATGTTTTAAACTGAATTTTATAGATATACATATTAAACTATTTTCCTAAGTCCCATACAGTCTTTTTTTTTTAGATTTTACATTGGTCCATTTAAAGACTAGAATAGATATAAGTAAACCCTAACTAAGGGGTAAGGCTGTCCCGTGTGCTGTGTTATATCTTAAACCCACTGCAGAAACTAAACTGATTATCTTGCTTCATAAAAGTTTTCTTTTCTAGTGTTTCATGCCTTTTACTGGCCTCATACAAACTCAAAATTTATGTATGATCTTTGATTTGCTTTTTCTTTTTAAAATACAGTCATTAAGTTTTGTCAATTATTTCAGAAAATTGTCTTTTATATATGCCCTTCTCCTGAATGTCTACTTTTGTCAACTTTTAGTTACCCTTGTATCGCCAATAACTAGTAAGTCTCTAATACATAAAAGGTGAATAACATTCTTTCTTATCCCTTCTGATGAACTACTAGCCACACAAATTGGTCATTACTTTCCATACAGTAAGTTTATTTCTACCTTTGTATCTTGTGTTCATGTTGTCTTCCCCCAGTGAATGCCCAACCTACTGGTATTATTTGCCCATCTACTCTTCAAGGCTTAGTGAACTAATATCCCACATGCATGGACATTTTCTTATAAAACTATTTTCCAAAACTACATGCAGATTCTTCATAACGTAGTATCATCCATCAGGTGTTTATTGTTTTCCAATATAGCAGACAAATTTAGAAACATAAAAATACTTCAATAAACATTTGTCCTCTATTTCTACTTAGTTTGGTTAGCAGATTTTTTTTTTTTCTTTTTCGTGGAACTGGGGATTGAACTCAGCTTCACAAGTTAAACATGCATACTACCACTGAGCTACATCCCCAGCTCAGAATTTTTACTTTTATGTCAAAGAATATTTTAAGTTTTTCAATAATACTACAAACTGCTTTCCAAAATACATAAAAATAACCACTGAAAGCATTATCTATTTTAAAAAATAATCTCTAATTTAATAGGAGGCATATCTCCTTATAATTTATAATACACTGATAATTAATAACAATTAAAATGTTTACTAATCATAAGAGACTATTATCCTCCCTCAAAAAACTGTTGGTTCATTTCCTTAGCCCAACGATCTATTGAGATCTAAGTAAAAACTGATTAACTATAGTATAGGAAATTAAATTAGACAAGAATATAAAACTCACAGGAGAAATCTAAAACATGGAAACCATTGGCATAGAAAGACCCTAACAGTCTTTAGGCCAAGAAGGAGCCACAAAAGACATATGGCCACCATCTTGGAAGAGCAGTGAAGAGACATCGGATAATTTCTACTTTCAGGAATAAAAACATAAGGTAGAAGTTTTTTATTCTACCTTATTTTTATTAACATCACATTAATTGTACATATTAATAGGGTTCAGTGTGATAGCTGCAAATATGCATAGCACTGATCAAATCCAACCTCCCTTTCCCCTTTCCCCCACATTCTTCCAAAAAAATTCTGTTTTTGGCTTCTACATATGAAAAAGAATATCATATGGTACTTGTCTTCCCGTGTCTGGCTTATTTCACTTAACATAATATTCTCCAGTTTGTCAAGTTTACTGCAAATGACAGGATTTTGTTCTTTTTTCACCAGTGAGTAATATATATATACCTTATTTTTTTATCCATTCATCTGTTTATGGGCACCTAGGTTGATTCTGTACCTTAGCTAGTATGAACAGTACCATCATAATTATGAGAATTCAGGTAGCTCTTCAGTATACGGCTTTCACTTCTTTGGATATATACCCAGAAGTGGAATATTCAGTAGGAATTCTAGTAACTGTATCACCCAGGGAATGTATAACCACAGAACAAGGAACTATAACAGTAGGAATCTTTACAGTTTCTAGAATCTTCATAATTACCCTCTCTAGTTATTTTTGCAGATTTTTCTCCTGAAAATTAAGAATAAAATTCATCAAACATAAAGAGCCTGTGAATATCTGTATTCAGAGACAACAACCCAACCCATGTGCAATTGGAAACTAGCACACTACCATTCTATGCGAAAGGCTTGATCAATTCTAACTTAAATGACAAAATCATGTTTCTTGGTCCACAATGTCAAAGTGACCAGACCATGACAAATTTGTGAAACTGTTGCTTAAGCAACTCTTTCTGGCAGCAAATGTTCTCTGTGACAGCCTCTTTCTTTCGATCTGCTTTCTTAACTTCATTATATAAAGTGCTTGTAACATTCAAAAGAAAAAGAAATCCACACCACTAATTTCATTCCTATATAATGTAATTCCAATCTTTAATGTATCTTCAATTTGTCATTTTTCTCCCTTCACTCTTCCCTATCTCTTCCTTCCAAACTGTAACTCTGAGCTAGCCTATTTTCCGACTCTTGTACAGGCAGCCACTGGGATCTTATACTTTAGGATCAGGTCACTCCCTACTACTATCTGTTTTCCTTTTCTCTTAAGGCACTGGCAAGAAGCATGCAAAGACATATCTTGCAGGACTACCTGTAATTTTTCTACTTCACTGAAACTGAATGAAATAGGCGAGGGCTGCTTTTAAATTTTGAATGCTTGAGATTACAAGAGGTCCACTTCCAACAAAGAAATTCTCCAACACACTTGTTTACTCAGTGGGCATAAAATCCTGTGCCAAATTACAAATACCTTCGAAAATGCTTTCTTTCCCTGCCTTTCTCGTCCACAGTGCAGTCTCCCTCAACCCTCACTCACTCTCAGTGCCCTCACTTCCTCAAGGAAGCCTTTTCTGAGCCCTGCGGCTTAGGTTCTGTCCTCCGCCAACACATGTTCCCTGGGAGCCCATGGTCCCCTTCCAGGCTGGCCTGTGAGCTCTGAGAACAACGGCCACTTCTGTTTGGCCTTTGTTCTGTGCCTAGCAGTGAACTGGCAAAAAGGGTATTGTTCCATGAATGCTTCTCACTGCCTAAGGAAAGTCACCAAAACCTTAACAGTTACTGAATCTGGGCAGAAGAATGACAGGTATTTTCTCTGTGTCTTTTTCCCTTTTTTGGTATTTTCCAATAATTTTTTTTAATGAAATATCTTCTGATTTCATAATCAGTAAAATTTTAAAATGGCCTTTCTTATACTGTAATCAAATTCCTTTTCTCTTAAAACTTCATGGTATTTTCTGAGGGATAAAGCTAAATATCACTAAAACAAGTTAGAGACACATCTGTAAATATATTTTGAACTTTAATCAAAATCATATACCAGAACTCTCAGAAACATAAGAAACTGATTTCTACCCCAAATCAGTTATACAGCCACTAAGTTTTAGATTGGAGAAAACATACTACATATTTCATAGATCTCATCCTCAAACTCATTCAGCTTTTTAAAAAAGAAGGTGGACAGCACTGTCGAAAAGAGGCACAGTGACAGAGTCCTAATAAAACAATTCTCACATAAGAAGAGATCTTGCCCAAATTTCTACATTTTTTTTCCTCTTAGGGGGAAAAAAAAGCATTGTATTAAAGGAATGCCGGTTTTCAGTGTTTTTTAATGACTCATTAATAACACTGAACACAGTGAATAATTAAAATAGCTCTGAAAAGAACAAGATTGTCCTAGTGGTCTCTGATCCAAGCTGTGCTGCACTCTGTACCTCTTTTGTGGAGGGCTGAGGAGGAGCCCCCTTTAGAACTAAGGAGACAACAAGGAGGCAGCGGGTCACGGGAGTGGTGCTGCTCCCAGCTCCATTCCTTCCACAGCAGCTAATCTGGAGTCTGAAAGGTTAACAGGTGCCCATGAACTATTCCAAGCTAGAAGAAACTCATAAGGGCCCGGAGTTTTGTCATTTGTACATTGTTCACTGTGCACCCTCAATACCTAGAACAATGCCTAGCACATGGGAGACATGAAAATATGTAAATGAGAGAATTAGTAGTTATATAACGATCTGAACACCAAGATCACCAAGTAACAGAAAAATGGGCAAATAATATAATCAAGGTCAAAGAAAGAGAAATATGTCTCAAACGCTTGAAAAGGTATTCAACCTCCGAGCTAATACCGTAAACGAATTTTAATAAACAACATGAAATAAGTTTTCACACACTAAACTGCAAAAAATAATGAAATTTATTAACACACTCTGTAGGTGTGTGTGGCTTTGTCAAAACCAGCATTATTTGTAGGTTATCAGTAGAAACATAAATAGGTGCAGAATATTCACGGGGAATTTGGCACTCCATATCCAAGTTATAAATGTGTGTATCTTTGGCTAAGCATCTCTTCTGGGAAGCTTATCCCACAGATACACCAGCACATAGGTGAATCAACTTATGATGGGTTCATTCCTTGCCTACATGCTTATTATAGCAAGATTGGAAACAACTAACGGCTCTTCAACTGGGGACAAGTTAGTAAGTCGGGGTATATACACATTCTGCATTACTTACAGATGTAGGAAAGAATGAGGAAACTCTGCACTTATCTGAATGGGTTCAAAATATATACTACTGAGTGGATCAAGGTACAAAACAATGTGAATAGTATGCTTATTTTTGTGAATAAAGAAAATAAACATATACTTGTAGTTCTTGTATCTGCAGAAAGAAACTGAAAAAAGTATGTTGACAAAAGTGTCTTCTTTTGAGGAAAGGTTGGGTCACAGGTACACAGAGAACAGGATATATGTAAGGCTGCATTACATATTCTTTTTGATTACTGGACTATGTGATGATACCACCTACATTTTTAAAAAGTCAAAAGGTGGAACTACAAAAACAACAGAGAAAGGAATTGCTGAGCAAACTACTGATATAAATAGGCTTGTAAGGAGAACACACTAGTCACTTAAAGGAGTACTTATTTTTAAATGAATAAGCTTGCTACCAAAACACCTACTGAACCCTAAGGTTAATCCTCTAAAGACCTCCTTTAAAGTATCAGTGCATATTTTGAGTTGCTCAAAATATTTTCAAAAAATGCTTGTTTGAAAATATTTTAGAAGGCATATTGCCTACTAACCTCTAGATTGGTCTATGCTCATAATAGTTCAAATTGTGCTTTTTATTTATGGTAAATTCTATGACAAGTAAATATTATGATCTATGAATATTATAGTGTGAGGTGTTCAAGGAGAAAGCATTCATTAAATCTTCATGCATCTGATCTCTCATTCCCATCAGGATATTGACGAATATTTTCAAAATCATTTGTTTAAATTACTTAAAAGAATGCTTCCAATAAAAAAAAGACCTCCTATAATGAAACCACCAAAACCTTTGAGCCATAAGGTTTAGGTCATTAAAAATGAATCTTACCTTACTTCAGCTGGGGGATTTGGGGAATAGGGATTTGCAGAACATGCCAGAATTCTGATGACTGCTCCAGGATGATAGGTTTCCAGAATATGAACAGCTGTAGGATATACCTGCTGTTCAAAAGTAAGTTCCACATAGTCCTGGCTCTGAAAGTTAGGTGGTGTCCTCTTGAATGGCAAGGAAGCACTAGGACACTGATCCCACCACGTTCCATAAGTTCGAAACACAGCGGTCTGAGTGAAGTCTCCAGAACGTGGGAATACATTTGGTACACCTGCCAAGTTCCACATGGTATAGGACATGCTATTCTCACTTCCATAATGAGAACTGAAATCCACTACTTCTTTGGCATATTGGACCACCTCCGCATTGAGAGGGGAAGTCCGGCTGTTTGACACTATAGTTCTATGGCTGTTCATCATTTCTCCTCTTGCAGCTGTCCTGGCTCGGCGCCGAAGGCACATATAATAAAACATAGTCAGAACTGTTAACATGGGAAAGACTGGTGACATCTAGATGTGAATTATGAAGCTTCAAAAGGTCAGGTGTCCTCAGTAAGACGCATGAACTCTGAAGGATGTTCTAAAAAATGAATGGCGTGGTGAAGTAAAAAATTTAAATAAGAAGAAAAATGCATGGATACGGTAACAAATAGGCTTTATACCCAATGTAATTTTCCAGAATGAAACTTTGAGAAAGTAAGTTTTAAATTATAAATGTGAATCTCAGGTATAAATAATTTCTCTAATATATCTGTTAGAAACCTAAACACTGTAAATGCATAAAACATTTACAAAACTGATACTCTAAGACAATGGAAGATGTATGATCCCCAAAGCCCTATTTTATATAAAATTATAACCAACATTCATGAAATAACAAGTTCTTGAGCTTTTAAAATTACATCTAGTGAAAATACTTATGTAAACCCAAAGCAATCTTAGGCAATGCCATCATTTAACATTTTAACAAATAATTTCCTATTGTTTTTTATTATTTTCTTCCAAACAGACTAAGTACAAATTTCACACTGTAGGAATGTAGTTTTGGGAGCAGACAGTTAATTCAGATCAACTAAATTAACGGCCTTACACATCACAGATCACCAGACAGTGTTTAATTTATAACTCTAGCATTATTTGTTAGGGCAGCCCCTGGCTGGCTGGCACCTGGTTGGTTGCCAGTTATACTTAGAAATCACTCACCCCGGGTAGAATGGTCACAGGATACACAAGGGAAATGCAGAAGTTGGCACTCATCCATGTGGCCTGAAATTTGTATGCTACTTTCAGGCACAGATGCTGAAATTTAACATTCTTCTACCTATAAAACAAGAATTTTGGAAAATATTTTTATTTCAAATCAGGACATTCAATATATCAAAAACATTATTATTACAAATAAATAGCTACTAGGCATAGAACTTTCAAATCAAATATGCTACGTTTTTCTGAATTTTGTGGGCAACTCTGCATTATTATTTAAATAATTTTATGATACAGTAAAATAAAAATGCAATAATGGACCCCATGTATACAAACTTTGCAGACCCAGTTTTCCTTCAGATATACCTGGACACATATTTTACTGGGGCCAAAAGTGTTTTTATAAATTTGGCCTAACCTGAGTGTGATGGCACATGCCTATAATCCCAGCACTCTGGAAGACCGGCTGGAAGACCTTAAATTCAAACCCAGCCTGCGCAAATTAGTGACTCTGTAAAACTGTTTCCCAAAACATATGGGGGAGGAGCTCAGTGTGCAGGCCCTGGGTTCAATCCCTAGAACCACCAAAACAAAAAAATTTTTTGGTCTAGATACCAGGCATGTAAGTTTGAGGTCAGCCTCGGTAGGCTACATTGCCAGACTTTGTCTCAAAAAATTTTTTGAGGGGGAGAGATCTAGTTTAGTAATAAGTTTCCAAGAAGCTCAAGGTCTCCTAGAGGGTACTTTTGTTCCTAGTCAGCTCCTCACTGACAGTACAGGCCTGTCCCCTGTCCTCAGAATAAGTAACTTCCATCCTTATAGTTATTTTGCTACCTGCAAAGTACTGAGTTCAGTTTCTCCCAAGTAAAAGGAGAACACACAAATTTTTCTTCAGTACAAGCATCCGGTAGACTTCTAAAACTTTAGCACTGAGATTATAAAACACTACTTGCATTAGATGGCTGTCCCACTCAAAGCCTCCAATGGCTTTTTCTGCTACACGAAAAAGAATTTAAACTCCTTGGTTTGGTGTTTTAAGGTTCTCCTCAGCTGGACAGATCTCTTCCAGAAAACCCAATCAAATTCTAACCACCCTTCATATTTGAAGTCTCAATTGTTCTATTCTTTCTTTTCCAACCATCTTATTCTTTATTAGCAAGCACACTCTCACTGCATTCGTATCAGACCCATCTCCATGCATCTATTTCAGAAGTAGGTTTTCTTGAAGAAGGGAACCCAGCCTAAGGTCTCCATTGCTTAAAGCGTTCAGTACACACCTAGGCCCAGAACACTTGATATGTCCATAGAGAGGTGATGGGTAAATAAAGGATTTTATAGAAGTCTAAAAATTTTTTTTAAATTATACAATAGCATCCTTCTATCTCTTAATCCCATCTGGGTCCAAACATACTACGGGATACTGGATGAAACAGAACCAGTCAAACAGTAAACAAAGAGGGGAGCTTGAAGTGTGAGAAACAAAAATGAAAGTCAAGTGCAGGGGACAGGACCTGAAGCTAACCTGACTCATGAGACTGGTTACTGGCCATGGTTACAAACAGGAATTTCCACCACTCTTTCAGGGAAATCATCTCAAGACACACGTCACATTTGAAAGGAACTTCTTGAAGCCAAAACTCAAAAGGATTGACCCTATCCATGAAACTAGGACTGTGAAAACTTGGGCGCCTGGACAGGAGGCACAAGTAGACATGACATCAACTTATGTTGATAGGGGAAGAGTCACGAGGATGAATCAGAGCCCTATTAGGGATCTGCCTTGTATCAGGCCTACATTCATGCTACCTTCACGGTTTGGAATCCCACCTTACCCCAAGTCAAAAAAGCAAAAAGCAGTCACAAATTGGCAATATTTTAGGATATGTTAAGCACTGATGAGAATCCTCCCTGTAAAGATGCTTTCACATAGAACAAACCAAATCCATATTGGTGAAGCATCACAGTAAAAATTACAGACACTATAAAAATGAACCGAGATGAGGGTCAGTCAGTAGACTCACCCAGGGAAGGAGTTTGTAGTCCCAAGAATAAGACTTTTTTGGGGGGAAAGGCAGTCAAGCATTTACTAAAACAGTCTTGTAGCGCAAGACATTTTGGTCAACATGGAGGGAGGCGTTGACTGTATGACCGTTGATATCATTTCTCATTCTATAATCTTCTTCCACTTTCTTTTAAAAACTGTTTATCAGAAAGCAAAACAGCTTCATAAACTGAAAGAAATGTCATGCAAAGTAAGACATCATCATCCATCTGAACCTTCACAAACATTCTTGGCAAAAAGAAAATTCAGACAAATTGTGAAAGTCAAAGCTTGGTTGATATACCAAACCACAAACTTTATAATTGCCTCTCGGCTAGTTTTTACCATTGCAGATTATAGGATAATGTCAAAATCAGCAAGACTGTCATATGGGCAATATTATTTTTAAGCTGTGTTAAAGTAAAATAAAATTTGCATTGCAGCAACATATGTAAAAATGAGTTATAAACTGTAAATATATGTGTTCAAGCTTCTTCAGTATAGAAATGTAAAATATATGATTTTTGTCCAACTCTGGATAAAAATAATCCTTTAATTTTTGTGAAATAAAGTTAATTTTTGTGAAACAAAGCTAAATAAAGAAAAAATTTTGAAAGAGGGGGAAAAAACAGTGTATGGTACTGAAAAAGCAAATATTCTTTTTCCATCAGTGCTGTTCAATTAATGCCATGTAAGTTAATGCCATTTTTGAAAATAAACAAGACCTAGAAAAAAAAATGGAAATATATAAACTTGTAGCTAATACCCTTCACTGATTCTAAACTCCTTTTTAGTCCACTAAGATGACACATAAAAGTGGTTTAGGGTAGAGATGACCATATGGACAAGAAGGATATCTCTTTCTACTTTTCCCTGGGAAATGAAGTGAAAAGGGGAATACAGCCATTGTCTCAGGGCTCATGTGGGTAGCGACAACCAATGCAGAAGTCCAAATTGCCCATGTACCGCCTGGACTTTTGCCAAGGCATAGAGGCAATTTGTGATAACCAATGAATATCCCAATGGGCAATGAACCAAGTGCAAAAGAAACAATAATTCTATTTTATGAGGAGAATGGGATTCAAAGACAAAATGATTTTTCCCATCTGGGGCAAATACATAAATATTAGTCAGGAACACTAAATTTTCCAAAATGGTGATTATAAAATGTACCTTTGGGGAGACATTGTCTTTTCTAGCTCACTCAAAAAGCTTCTTTAATTTTCAGGACTCTCACAACACATATTATTTTCATGTAAGAAGTTAGAAGTACAAACAGAATGGTCTTCATTTTATTTGGGGCTTAATCTTATCACTTAAGAACATGATTGTGAGATAAGAAAGTCTCTGGGACACAATGAACTTTTATACACTACTAGCACAACCAAGGAATACAAAACAACAGCCATTTTAACTTGTGTCTTGAGACTTTCACATTCCTTGGGAAACAACTTGTTTTATAATGACATGATTTTATTATAATACAACTTTATTTTCAACCACATCTTTCCTATTATAAAATGCTTGACAAAGTTAAATCATACAATTACAGAGAAAGCAGTAGCAGTGGAAAAGGGAAATTAAGAGGTACAGACAAGGGAGAACATATGTTTACCACTGAGATTTGAAGTGAGATGGGGAGTCGATGAGGCGGAGAGAAACAGGATGGCAGGAGCTGCCGAGAAGTTAGCCTGTGCTTCAGCAGAGGGAAAAGGAGGGAGGAAGTGAGCTTCATGTGAAATAAAAGGAGGCAACAGAATGATCTAGAGCTATGCTCACAGGGTGATGAAAGAACCTGGAAAACAAGTTCAACACTCAAAAGACAATTCTCAATTTATATTAAAGTGAAAAAGATATGGAAAATGATTAAAATGACAGGAAAGAAGGCAGTCATACAGGCACAGTGAGTCTTCACACAATACTTACTTGTGAATATTCTGCAGAGATATGTCAATGAAGTAATAGGAAAAAGGACTAGGTAGCTTTGCAGCACAGTACCAAAATGCAATGCAATATATGACGGGATAGTAAGTCAAAGAAATGGACACACGTTAAATGTTTGTAATTTCTGAATCTAGTGAAACTGGTCAGGAGATACTATCTGAAGGAAAGAATTCTGCTGGTTGAATCTAGAAATCAAAACACAGGAGAAGTAAGGAAAGCATCAAGTAAGAAACGAATGGACATACACTCTATTTGAATTCTGAGCAGCAGTCACCAAATTACATTTGTATTTGACCCCACAGTGAGCACCAGCCCTCTTTCCTGGCCTGCCCCCACTAGGATCCTCTAGGGTCCTAGAACACGTATTCTTATATCCCTTCCTGTCTCTCTGGCAAGCCTGTCTCTTCCCTAGGTCGTCATCTTCCTCATCCTTCTCAAACGCACAAAGGCACCTTTCAAAAAAAAATGGTCTATTTGATAACATGACTAACAAGAAAGTTCCACGTACCTTTGCAACTGTCTCCTCCCTCTCCCTTTCACTTCTGTATACCCACAGCCCTTGCTGCTGACCCACCAGAACCTCCACCATTCCATCGACAGTACTTGTGATTTAAGTCTCCAACTGAGGATGGCAGAAGTCCTCCCTGCCCTCCTCTGCTTAGCACTCTCACCCATCTTTCCAAGTCACTTTCAGATTCTATCCACTGCCCACATATCCTATGTACTTGTACATTACATATCATTTATTATGTATCACCTGCTGAAATATTATTCCATCCAAATACAATGAATTCCACAAATCCAGAGAACATATCTTAATTGTAACTAAACCATTAGGGCCTCATGTATGCCCATATATGTTCAAAAATATTTCTTGTTTAATGGAGATTAGCAGAGTAGATGACAGGAGAGAATTACAATTTTTTAAAATAAACACAGAAATAAAGCCAGTGACATGTTAAGATCAGGTAGATATGAAAAAAGGTTCCGTATCATGATATAGAGAAAAAGTGGGGGAAATGGATAATAAAAACTGAAGCACAATAGGTAAGAATCAAATGTATGAACTTCTTTGAAGCCATCCAAGAAGGAATAGTATACATATTGAAATTGTGCTGTTCAAAGAGAATGTAAAAAAGTGGTGACTTTTGTTAGTATAAAAGCACCCACTGAATACATAAAAGGGATTGACTCTGGCCACAAAGAAACTCTGATTGAAATTAAAGAAAGATTCATGAAAGAGACGATTGGAGAGGTAAAAGAAAGCTATTTTCTCAAATACAAATGACTTTTTTATAACACCCCAAATCTATGTTAAGCCCATGGTTGATTACAGAGCACTGGAAGAACTATGGATGAAAAAAAAGCAGTTCTTAAAAAAAAGGATAACTTAAGAGCCAAGAAAAGAGACAGACCAAGAAAGCAAGAATATAACAAGACAGGTTGTTATATAAACCGACAGGTTGAAACCATTATGATACTGGATATGTATTGGAGAAGCACACTAAGTGTTAGCAGAAGCATCCCTTTCCCTTCATTATAATTATTTACATTCCAATTATGTTACATGCTTAAAACTTACTGAAAAAGTAAACAGTATAGTAAGGAGTCCACTGAAGAGGTGTCTTAAGACTCTATGTATCTCTTCCACAGGTAAATTCTCCGCTAATGAAGACATTTTTACTAATATTTTTTAATAAAAAAGGCCTACTATGCTTTAGATAAGTGTCATCCACTTGGTCCCCAACTACTGGGAGGTAGTAGAGCCGTTAAGAGAGGGGGCTCAGTGGTAAGAAGTTCAGTCACTGCGGGCCCGCTCTTGAAAGGGATACTGTACCCAGGCCTAAGAGCCTCTTTCTTTGCTTTCCACCTGCCATGAAGCACGTGGACCTCCTCTACTACCTGCTCCTATGATGATTTACCGGCTGCTACAGGCCAAACCAACAGGGCCAAGTGACTAAGAACTAAACCCTCTAAAACCATGGGCCAAAATAAGCCCTTTCTCTTTTTAAGTTTATTATCTCAGGAATTTTTTTATAGTTCAGTCTCTAGTAGCAAGAAAAGTAGAAAAAAAGAATGAAAGGAATCAATGATTTTTTTAAAAAAAAAAAGCTGTATAACAAAAGGAATGGCATTTTCCTGATACAGCAGACCTGGAAACCCTTGCCCAAGACACTATTTCATAGTGACACGGAAGGACTTGTTTCTAATTACACAGGTGTAATAACACAAGGTATCCTCAACACAGTTGTCACTACACTACATTACCTACCTGTTACCTTTCTCTTCATGGCTTCGTAAAAGGTAATAATAAACCCTAAGATTAGGAAGAACTGTGAATTCAGAAGAACTCTAAACCTTTAGAGCGTGTGTGTGCGCACACACACACACACACACGAAACATACATCTTCCCAATACTAAAAAGTAGGAATAGATGGTCATATTGGTTAGATTTACGTTACTGGGACAACATGCCTGACACAGACAAAAGAAAGGAGAGGTTTATTTGGCTCACAGTTTGAGGTTTCAGTCCATGGTTAGCTGGATCCATTGCTGTGCATCTGAGGTGATGCAAAATATACTGGCAGAAGGGCCTGATGGACCAAAGCTGCTCACCTCACGGACACAGGGAAACAGACTGCAGGGGAAGAACTGCAGCAAAATACATACTTCCCAAGGCAAGTCCCAACTGACCCACCTCCTCCAACTGGGCCCCACTCCAAGGAGCTCATTCAGCTACACATACCAGTGAATCAATTCACCAGTAAGTATAACAACCTGTGGCCTAATTACCTCTCTAGGAATCTCTTAATCCAGCTGTTATGGTTTGTGTCTGTATGTCCCCTCAAATCCTCATGCAGTCATGGGCTTCTAGATTTTTGAATGATCCAGAGTTCAATGCTGGGATTATGGGTTCGAGTGCTACACCCGCCCTGGGGTTAGAAAACAGGCTTGCTCTTTCCTCTGCTGCTCTTCCCTTTTGCTCTTGCTGCTTTTGCTATCTTCTGCCGCCAAGAACTGTTGCCCTCTGCCATGTGCCACTCTGCCTTGGACTGAAACCTCCACAAACTGTAAGCTGAATAAACCTTCCCTTCCTTAATTTTGAGTGTCAGGTATTTTGTCTCAGCAACAAGAGAAAAGTAACCAAGACACCAGTCAAACTGACAATTAAGATTAAACACTGGCTGGGCCTGGGAGTACACACTTTATAATCCCAGCACCTGGGAGGCTGAGGCAGGAAGACTGAAAAGTCAAGCCCAGCTTAGATAACTCAGTGATGTAGTGAGACTCTGTCTCAAAAGTCAAAAATGAAAAAAGGGCTGGGGATGTAGTTCAGTGCAAAGGTCCTAGGTTTAATCTCCAATACTGAGGGAAAAAAAGATTAACCAGTACAAGGGTTGAAGAGAAAAAGATATCATTTATAACTATTAAAACCATACTAACTATACTTAGCCAAATATTTCCCACATACGCTGTAAATGTAATTTTTGTAAGAGATACAGAGAACATTATACCTAATAAAATATAATGGATTCACAGTTATCCTGCCTAACAAAAATCCAAGTCCAGTACAAGTACAAGGTTTATCCTGGGTAGACATTATAGCTAAAAGAGTAACTAAAATGGTGTAAGATTGTTGAACCAAATTTGGGGTACACTTTGCATTTCAAAAGATGTACCCCATTTTAAGTGCACAGTTTGATAAGTTTTGACAAAAACATATAATCTTAAGATTTTTATATACCAAAAGCTCCCAGAAACATCAAGTAAAAAATAGACTATGAGAAAATATTAATAAGTGGTGTTTCAAATTATTAGTAGTCACAATAGTTACTACAAATCAACAAGACAAAGAATACTTCAGTAGAAAAAAGGACATAATCATATTAAGAAACAAGTGAATATAAATACCAATTAACATGTATAGACAGTCAATATCATCAAAATACTATCAATAAAGAAATGTAAACATTTTCGTTCATAAAATTACTAAATGTGGCTTTTTAGCCACATAATCTCAGCTATAATCGTGACATAATACTTTACATCAGTTTCTACATGTCTACAAACAAAGGCAGAAAGGACTTTTGCTTCAGATTACATCTTCAGTGGTGTTTATTCAACAAACAGCCCTGGTAGATAAAAAGGTCTCCTTCTGCAAGAGAGGGCAGGTTTGTTTAGTACCCAGGAAAACGATGTCTCCCTCCAGGACAAAGGAGGCAGGTTTACTGGCAGCCCACTGTGAACAGTTCAGGAACCTTAAACTCAGGCCTCTTCTCCTACGACACAACCTACTCCATGTGCCAGTGTCATCTGGCCCTTGTCCCATCAACCTACGGAAACTGGACGGCCAGGAGAGGCTGACACTCTGTGGCCTCTTGAATTTCTGTTTTGTTTCTGACCCAGGATTCTTATGTCCTCTGCCAGCATCCACAGAACTCTTGATGTGCAAGGAGGCCATATATAATCACAGACTTTTATTTTTGTCTTTTTCAGACAGGGTCTCATTGTGCAGTTCAGGCTGGCCTTGAACTCACTTTGTAGCCCAGGCTGGCCTCAAACTCAAAATGGTCCTCCAGCCTCAGAGTGCTGGGATTACAGGCATGTACCACCACGCCTGGCTGATAATCTCAGAGTCTTGACCATTTTTGACAATGATGTGGCCACAGAAAGTATTCTTATAGATTGTATAATTTGATTCTTACCAACAACTTTTCTGAAAAGGACTACAGCAAATTCTCTGAGAATTTAAAATGTATATATAGCTTTTGGCTCAGAAATTTATTTACACTAAAGAAATAAACAAACCTGCAAACATATATAAACTGTTCCCTTTATTTACACAGCAT